CTCTGCAACAACCAAATCCTGCTCTTCTTCCTTTGTGGGAATATAGTGAGAGGATCAGAATAAATTCAATTGATTTCTGAGCAACATTTTTGTTTTCCAAGGAGAGTTACACGGTTCCTTGTTCTATTGTCTGCCATATTGGTAGAAGCTATGAATGTAATGCCTGCATGGGCCTTCATAAAGAGAAGATTAGTCATGTAACATGTTGCTGTGCCGGAATGTATGCAAGTTTATTTCCCAAAAACTGTTTAATTGCAGTTCTCGCCCCTCTTTTATAGAAAAAAAGGCCCCTTAGTAGCTGGTTGTGTTATCATACCAACGCTTCCTGAGTGGGATGAGCACAGACACATTCTTACTTGGTAACCTTATACCTGCTGCCCATAGAGAGTCAACTTGAATGTCATTTTCTCTCATGCTGACAGAAGAGGGAGGTAAAATTATGCTTTAACAACATAGTTGATCAAACCCCTTGATTAAAGTACACAAGGCTGATGGCTAAGATTCCTCGAGGCTATATTCTTCATAAAATACTGTACTGGCATGCAGCTGACAGACGGGTGAAGCTGGTGTTGGAGAGCTACCGAGAAGTGACTGCAGCATTTCACAATCCCAGCTGGAGTTGCCCTTCTGTAATGGATCAGACTGAGGGTGGCTGTTTGAAAGTAATGATCTCACTTGGACTGAAGCAAAGTGAAAATGTTGCCTGTGCAGAATATTTGAGTTGTAAGAGGGGAAAAAATAGCTTTGTAGTTGTTCAAGATGAAAGAATGACATCCAGATGAATAATAACTTAAACATAAAGATATAATAAGGATGATTGAAACTATATTTTTCTAGTTTAAAGTTGTATTGTTTGAGAAGATTTGAATGCAAAGGCAAGTGGGCATTCCTTCAGTCCAGCTGAGTTCATCACAAACCAGTTGCACTCCCACATCCTTCAGATGGAGACCGGTGTTCCTCATATGAGCCCAAATGTATCTGTTCCCGATAGCTAACGATAGCCCGCCTGGGGGAAACGTGCTAGCTTGAGACGGGGAAAGAATTCACACCACATATTGTGCCTATAAACAGCACCACATGTGACACACACACACACACACAGGCAGGATATCTGTTGCCATCTTATTCTAGCCTTTAATGTGGATAGACACGATGAAGGTATGTCTATATTCAGATACATACATATTATACATATTTACAAATAATGCTATACTACTAATAATAATTGATAACTTAGCAGTTAAGCTTAATAAATATATAACCTGAAAACCTGTATTGATTACATAGAACTTCTTGTTATTGAGGTATTGCTATATGACATGTATCGCTGAACTAGATGACTATAGTGAATTTTTTTTTTTTAAAGATTCTTTTTATTTTGAAAAGTTTTCCTTCAGTGTGGGTTGTTCCAGACAGGGTTAGATACAAGTGGCTGAATGTGGAGAGATGGATCACCGAGAGGGTCAAATATTTGCACTTGGAGCAGAGGGCTAGAAGTCAAACAAGTCAGTCAAGTTGAAGTTGTTGTTTTTTTTTCCGCAATCAGAACAGCGTAAACTGGATTTGCAGGATGCTGTAATTTTCCAGTTGTACACTCTGCTAGTACAGGAGAACGCTGTGGTTAAGAGGAGCAAAGGAGAGACCTAAAGAAACAAGAGCATCAAACCACAGGATATTTACTTTACATGAGTTTTCTGATGTTGCTGACCACTGAACGAGCTGACCAAAAACGCAGCTCGCACGTCAGTCTGGCAGGTCGCGTGGCAGCAGATCAGGCCTTGTCTGGAACAGCCCTCTTATTAGCTTCTTCGAGGGATCGTATTACTACTGCTCCTAGTATTATGATGAATATGATGACTATAATGATTGCTATTTCGATTTCTCTTCTATATGCTATTGATATATGTATGTTAATTGCAATGTATAACTCTCTCTTTATATATGTATCCATGTATGAATATAATATGCATCTGTGTATGCTGCTAGTGCACAGCTCTGTTTGGGGGTGAAGGCAGTGAGCAGAAAACACAGATTCTGGTAGATTTCATTTATCAGCTGCCAACAGCTGTAGACTTGTAAATGAGTGCTATATCTGAGATCTTCTGGTAGGACCAAAGGGTAAAACTAGATAGTTGATGATTAAAGTATATATACTGTAACGTCTTTCCTTCTTGCAGTGTCTCAGTTTGATCCTACCAGCAGAACTCACTGCTCACTGCCTTTGCTTTGCCTCTTTGGTTGAGCTGATTCACCGGGCAAGGACAGATCTGGAAACGACCGCATACACAGAGGCTTATATACTCCCGTATAGCGCCTTATTCAATATACTTCACCTATAAGATGATAACATACCCCTATTGTATAACCCTCCTTACTATATACAGTATATGATACTTGATACCTATTATAATACTTAGACACCCTTATAAGGTAATCTGAATAAGAGATGATGGGCTGTCTTTTTTTCCGTGGCTGTTGAAAAGTGTGCTGTGGTCAGAAATGTGTTCTCATCTTGCTTTTGAGAGTTAAATGGGACAGGCTATAAAGGAGAGTGGCGCTCACCCAAAGAAAATATAATTTGAGTTTTTTTTAAATCTCATTTGGCCCACATAGACTAAAATTTGTCGATCTGGATTTAGATTTTTGCTGTTTAAATAAGAGAGCAAATCATTTGAGGTGAGGCTCCTCTCCCTAGTGTTTGTGAGAGAGGTCGGGGAAACAAAGAAGCAAATGTCTGGGCTGCTTGTTGTGTGCGTGCCGTTTAAAAGCCGACGAATCATGACACAACCTTATCGAGCGTGTGACGGATTCTGGTGCCAAAGCATCTGATAAAACAGCCAGATTTGCTCGCGTATATGTGGAAGAAATTACTTTTCTCTACCCCCCTCTTAAAGTAAAGGGGGTCAAATAATGAATTTTGTTGCTCACACAGGCATGCTTCTTCTGAATGTCACCTGACTTCAAAGTTGTGTGTTCTGATAAAGTGTCCTGATCCAGTCACTTCACTTTAATGCATCTTGCCGCAGTGAAATGACGTTACACACTGTCCAGTTGCTGCTCCAAAAAGAAATATTCAAGTGACCTACCATCCCGTTGCCTCTTTGCCACTCCGGCTCCCCCACCCTCCGATGAAGTTTGTGTCATGTGTTTGGCAGCACCAACACACACCTACACAGCTACAAAAGACTGAACGAATCAGTTTTCAAAAGGTTAGAATTTTTTTTTATTTTTTGGGTTATTGTTTTCGGCAACTTCGAATGAGGAAACCAGGGATGCAAGAAGTGGAAAAAACAAGGCCTCTGTTTATTTGTTTGTTTTGTATGTTTTTCTTTTTTAAAAACAACATTTTGTTGTTATTTTTTCCCCTTCTTGCCTTTTTCTCTTTTCTCCTCCCTGGTTGGAAGTTGATGATCACACATGTGGACCAAATCTCTTGAAAGCATTTAATAAACTTTTAGAAAAAACAAAACCCAGTTGATTCTATTCCTTAAAATTAAGCGCCCTGACATTAATTCATGAGTATGATTGGTGGCAGTCAAAATATGAAACGCTGAAACTTAATGGTGACAGGATTTATTACAAACCGGTCTGACTGTGCCACGCTCAGAGTTTAACGAGTCCTACACGTGACTTACAGAGATCTTACAAAACACCCTTTGCAGAGCCTGCTCTTCAGTCTGAGGCCTTAGATGCACTTTGGAGCCACAGTGAAAGTTAAATGGAGACTCTCCTCTGCCCTTTAATTTAGACATTTCTCTCAGCAAACATAAACTGCATGAATAGACTCCATAAAAGTTCATAATTAGTATAATACAGGGGTGTCAAACTCATTTTACACTGAGCCGCATGCAGCTCATTTTGATCTTAAGTGGGTCGGACCAGTGAAAGTAAAGAAGATAGAAAACTACACAATTAATTCCTGAGATTACGTTTCAACAGCATCTCTTTTTCTGCATAATAAAGAGATCCCGCTCTAGTAAATGAAAGATATGTCCACAGCACTCTTTAGACTTGATCTAAGTAATAGATGTGTAAATTATAGAAAAAGTAACAATAATAAAGTTACAGTAGATGCTGAAAAAAAACGGGAAAAGACTTTTCTGTCATTTTTAAAAAATCTATTACTCGTTTTCTCTGGTGTATTATAAACCGTGGGACCGTGGGAAGCTACAGCTTTCGCAGAATACAGTTAAAAATCCAATACTTAACCCCTCCACTCACATTTACCAAAGCTGCAGCGGGCCACACTGGGGTCTGAGGCGTGCCCCTGGAGCTTTATTTGACACCCATTGGACTGTTTCTGTCTTAGTTGGTGTAAAACGTGTGTATAGACGAGCATTACAAGGCCTATACTTTACATAATTGCTATTCCAGACATATAACTGGAACGTAAATGCGGGCTAGCTTAAATTTAGCCTCATGCTTGCTCCTAAGTCCCCCACACGGTGACCCTAAGCGAGTTACTCTATGATAATATACGCCATGTTTAAAAAACAAAAAAAAAACAAAACACCGAACTCAAATCGTGCTAAAGTCTCTTCACTCGTGGGGAGCATGTAGGGGTTAAAACCAGTTGTACCCGACTTATAACGTAACGGGTCGCTGTGGGTCACGTTTTTTTTTTTTAACTTTCGCTAACACAGGTGCGGCCCAGGATTGGCTGGCAGCGCTGTGATTAGCATAAGGTATGGCCAATGGGCGTTCTTTCCGTCGATTGCGTGGGAATGCTCGCTGCCGATTGGCTGCTTGGAGCTGGAGTGGGCGGGCCGCGTTAAGTAATTTCGGCCGAGTTCAGAGTGTGAGACCTGCCTAAGTTCTAATATTTCCCGACGTTTTTCGGGAGCGCTCACACCCGTTCAAGCACTGCCCGGCCCTCCAGGATTGTGCACTTTCACAGGAGAAAACATGACCACTGAAATCCCAGAGATTTTCAGGGCTCTTCTTGAGCATCCGTTCGCTCTTCCAAACTTTGACGACAATGGTAAGTGACAGCCAAACGTAGCTCTGGTTAAGTTAAAATTCCGAAAATTAAGAGACAGATTTACCACGTAGATCGTTTATCTGAAGCGACAAACTGATTTTGAGGAAATTCGGGAACTTTTGCGCAAACTGTGTGTTTGTTGCGTAATCCTCGTCAGCTGAGCCGCATGAGACAGCAAGGAGCTTCTCCTTGGCTGGATTTAGAAGCTAAAAGTTGGAGGAATTTAACAGAAAACGTGGACTATATTACTAAATAGACACTTATAATTTAAAAAACGATACTCTAACACATACAAAGCAGGTACTGATCCTTTCATTGCGGTGGTAAAGACCGCTCAGTGTGAAAGAGGAGATATGTTGATAAAGCTAAACACCCTAAAATAAGATCACCTGCTGTTTTTAATGATCATCGCGTTGCAGGCTAATAAAAATGCTGTCATTCGTGGTTGTAACGGATTAGTAACAACGCCTCTTTTGGCTGAAAGCTCCAGTAAGCAGACTCAGATCGACCTGCAAATCAGATCAGTATCTAACACCTACTGATCCTCTGTGACCTGTGGTGGTTTTGTTGCTGCACAATTGCACTTTGACAACGTCTCAGTCAGGAAAGCATGTTTGGTATGTGACTGCTGAAACATGCAGGTGTGTGAGACCACTGTGGCCCCTTTAAGTGAGCCTGCTTGGGAGATGATGCCTCATATAATTTAGGCTGACCGTTTTGGTTTTGTGTTTAACACAAACACAACAATCTCAGCGTGGGTGGTTTTTGAGGTCGACGCAATGACTCTGTTTTCATTCCGTGTAAGTGATCACAGAGATATAATATCTTCAAATTGAGACTAAATCTGCCACTTTAACAGGACTGCACAGTAGTCACTCAGGCTGAGTTTTTAAATGGGGCCATCACAGTACTAACATGACTCGTGAAGCAAAAGCAGTCCTTTTGTTGTTGTTGTTGCTTTGCTGCACAGTATGTTTAACTTGTTGTTGTAGGAGAGAAGTTAGATTAGGTTCAGGCTCCAAGTGCTTTAAAATGTAATTTTTGGGTGAACTGCCCCTTTATGCAGCATGATGAATCAGTAGTTAGTTGACAGTTGACTCTAACTTGTCCATAGGTAATGAATGTGGCGTGAATGGTTGTCAAGGAGTCTGCCTGTTGTCCTGTGACAACTGAGATAGTCTGCAGCCCCACCTCAAGCTCCCTGAACTGGATAAGTAGAAGAAAATGGTGTTCGGTCTTTGCAGACCCTGAGAGAGCAAGTGGTAAATTTACAGCAGGCGAGAGTACTCTGCTGCTCTGTGTCCAATTAAGTAGTTTAATGCAGCTCAAGTCAGAGCACCTTTCATTAGAGAGATTCAGGAGCTCCATATTTTCCACCTTTAGTTTTGATCAGAGACTAAATCCTCCCCACCATCGAGGTCAGGGAATGAGCCACTCACCAGCTGTTCCTTGCTAGAGGGGCTGTGTTCCTTCTTTAAAATACCTTTGATGGTGATTTACTGCTTTCATGTCAGGCAGCATGCTCGGTCAGCTCACGTTTTTTTCTTTTTCTTCTTTGTAAACTCACGTGTGACTTACCAGTAAAATTTTGATGTCTTTCATGCTCGAAAATTCTTCCGCCAAGTGTTGAAAGACCGAAAGAGAGCGTTTTGGTTTATGCACAGGCATTATTGATGCTGTGTGTAAATTAATTGAGCCTTGGTTTATTGCTATATTTTTGAAATCCTCAAACTTTTAGCTGGGCCTTTTATTCTTCTCAAACTTTCTGTCCTATATACATTGTTACAATAGTGTATTCTAATATTTAACATGACCAGGGGGGCAGAGCGAGGATGATGAAGGACTGCACTAAGGGTCAGTATAAAACAGATCATTATATGGACGTAGAAATTTTATGATGACATATTTAATAACGTTCAGGCGTGCACTGCCTGTCGTACATACTGATCATAAATAGAACCCGTGTGTACCATGAGACAGACACAAATGACCAGGATGGATCAGATCTCACATTCGTCTTGGTGTGTGTTGCTCTAAAGCCTAAGATTTTGACGCGAGGACTGCAAAGATGCTTTTATTCTCTCCCACTCTTAGCTGGGGTATGTTTTAGATTAGGAAGTTGTAGGAGTTGTCTACATGTGAGGACATGACATGAAGGTCAAATAAACTAGTTTCTTATAGGGTCTTGTCCAGCACCTCCAATGCAAACTCTCTACACACACTTATTATTTTGGACCGTAGTCTAAAATCACATGGAGCTGTACAGACCACAAACAGATACTTTCCTAATTTGTTTCCCTAATTTTGCACAGACAAGATTTTAGTTCTACTTGTTAATGCAGCTAATAGTTTATCATTGTGGTTAAGTGGCATATATAATAAGTGGGACAAAGTTCAGTGTGACCACCTATAGCAGATGACCTTGGGGGATTGTATTTGTTTTTATCGCTGTGACACAAACACGGAGAAAAACTCCCTCTCCCACTAAAGACAATAAAACTGCGCCTTGTGTGAGGAAAGCATGCATGTAGCTGCCTTTCATAGGTTGCCTTACTGAATGCTTCATGTTAGTGCACACTTTGGAGGGCAATAACATGTGTCTATTTAAATGCCTTTTTGCATAAGAAAACAGGATGTAGATTTTAAAAATCCTCTTTCTTTCTCCGCAGGATATGATTTGCTTCAATCTCCACATCATTCAGATTATTGTTTATTTATTTATTTTTTACCACCACTTTTTTCACCAGGAGTAAAAAAATTGTTTACTGTATGCTTAAAGGCGATGTGGGACAATTATCAGCGACCACGATCGTGATTAAGCTTTCTGCGGTACAGCACAGACATGCACATCTTTGCCCCTTGGTCTTCTGCTTAGCTGCAGCAGCATAGCCCACACCAACTAAACCTCAAGGTGCTGCTCCTCAGCCCAATAACACTTTGGCACTGCAGCGCCGCCCTTCTTGCTCACGCCTGCGTGTGAGCCACAGAGACACATCGCGGCGTCATTGGACAAAACCGGGCGATATGTAAGAGCGGCACCTGCACGTGTGTTTGCATGTGAGCTGGGCAGGCTTTGCTAGTCAGGACATGATCCGAGCTGTTTGTCCCACTTTTTGTGCAGTTTTTTCTTCTTTTTGGTTTTTCTGTCAGAGTATATCAATTAATATAATCTTCAAGTATTTCTGATTAATATCTGATTTGGGTTAGATGGTTATAGTTATTGCCTGTTCGTAAATTTAGAAAAGGTGCTATAAACCCTCGCTGTCTGTGTTTATGTGATCGTATAACATTAAAAGAACTGGAAAGAAAGTTAAATAACCGAATAAGGGTGGGAAAAAACTCGGTTAAAATACGTGTTGCAATAGTTTTTTTTATATCTTATTTAGGTGAACATGTATATAACTCGGTCAACCAATGAGAGCGCAGATAGTTTTCAGGAACACGCCCCCTCGCGCTGTAATATTAATATTCATGAGGTCAGACTCAGCCGGCCAATCAACACAAAGCCAACAGGAGGTTTTTTCACAAGGAGGCGCGGTTTGTTCTAAAAAACAAAAAACCAAACCTTTCGACTGTCACGGTTACCGAGGAAGTGGGTTAGAGAAGCTCTAGTGGATGCTATCGCGGATAAAATTCGTTTGAGTGGATTTTGAAGCAGTCTGTGACGGCGGTTCAGCGGGCTGAGGAGCTGGCGTTATCAAGCTAACGAGCTAACCCGCCGTGTTTGCATCTTTTTTTTTGCACTTGCTCCGCGGTGAACTTTGAATAATAAAGAGACAATAAAAAAGAATTATAAAAATGTCTGGAGAGCCACTTCTCGTCACGGTGGAGACTGCCGCTGGGGCCCCGAGTTCATTCCCGCTGGTTTTGAAGAAAATAATGGAAATGCCTCCGCCGAATATACTGGACGGAGACGACGGTAAGCGCAGAGCTGACGAAGAGGAAGAGGCGGATGTCGGCTCTAAAACGAGTTCACCCGAATAAAGAGGCTGGCGAATAATAAAAATAATAATTAAAACAGTCTTCTTATCATAACAGTGTAGCAGCCTGTATACGGTTGGCGCTGCGTGTGCTAACACCTCTGAGGGCATATTAATTTTGCAGCGCTAGCTGCAGTCGCTATGTACCCTAGAAAGGCCTCCTCTTTTCTCCTGGGTCCGCTTCTGCTCAGCATCCAGACTTTTCTAGACACGCCCCTGAGTTTAAATGCAATTATTTTGCTGTTGTTGACAGGAGGCACTCTTTCTCCGGTTAAAACAAAGTAATATTTTGATGATAAAACCTGGTTTTAAGTGAATAAGAACTTAAATAAGCATGATAACATTCTCGGCCTGGTTGTTTTTCCCCCTCACTGTGTGTTTACTGCGGATATGAGTCCTTCAGTTTAAAAACCGCATAACTGAATCATAGTCATCTTAAATGGTGTCCACTGTTGCTGCTGTTGTACTATATACTGGATGTAGTGGTGTCAGGGTACTTAAAATAGTTTTCTACAGAACAGTGACAGATGATAGGGGGAGGAGATTTTACTGTAACACACTGGATAGTTTGGGGTAGAAACAGAGAGAAGAAAAAAATCTTCTTTCTCAGCACTGAATACATTATAAAGCCATGTTTTCTATGTCAAAGCAAAATATATATAATATAATATTTGTGAAAACTCCATATGTGTGTGTCTGTGTGTATATTCATGTGTATCTTTCCTGTTTCAGACACCGACAAGGAAAAGCTGTGTCTTGGAGACACCGGTGACTTGGGTGGAGGAGGGAGTGACATGGGTCCTTCGGCCGCTCTGACCCCAGCTATCTGGGAGAAAACCATCCCCTATGATGGTGAGAGCTTCCACCTGGAGTACATGGACCTGGAGGAGTTCCTCATGGAGAATGGCATTCCCACGTCACCAGAGGAGAACTTAAAGGGCACGCCAGAAGGAGACGCCATGAAGACGGAGAACCAAAAGGCTACGTCCTCTGCACAGACAAAGATCACCAAGCTAGTGTCTCCATTGACTCTGCTGCCCATTCAGGAGCTGGACAAGAGTCAGGAGGAAGTGGTGATCATCACAAAGAGTGATTCTGACATCACCTGTGATGTTGTTACAGGTGAGGCTCCTCTTGGCCCTGTATGATGTCAGAGAGAGCAGAGTGTTTATGGGGGCCAGAAGGAAGTTGCTTACAGAAGATAAGGCTTAGTTTGAACTGTGATTCATGCAAAGCTACTCTGACAAAATCTAAGGATAAAAATACAGAGTTTGTAGATAAGTATAATTGTATAAGAAGTATAAAATCCCTGCTGGAATTGTCCTAAATAGAGGTAATAATGCATGCTTATATTTCATATTTGGTTGTGTCACTATGTTAGCGAAACAGGATATGGTGTGATCTAACAATGTCACCTAATCCTGAAACAAGCTGTGGGTGGTAACTATTCTGGCGGGACAGCAGAAATAGAAGCTGGTGCAGCCGCATACTGGAGATGGCAGACTTTACAGTTGGTGTCTCATATTTCTGTTTTTGTTTCTTATCTGTGTGCTCAGAGGTGACCACTGACGAGGACAGGGTGACTCCTGAGCCCATCATCCCTGAAGAAATTGAGGTTGAGGTCAACTACGAGCCAGATCCTACAGATTTGGTCCTGTCGAGCGTGCCCGGGGGCGAACTGTTTGACCCGCGCAAACACAAGTTCTCTGAAGATGATCTCAAGCCACAGCCTATGATTAAGAAGGCCAAGAAGGTGTTTGTACCCGACGAACAGAAGGTATGCTGGCAACTGGATGAGGAAGACCACAAAAAAAATGCGCTTTCAGTCTAGCAGGCTGCTTCATTGTGTTTATGTGCCTCGTGGCAAATCGGTAAAACAGGAAGACAGTTGGAGCTCAAACATGTAGGGTTGTATAATCACACTAGAAACATTGCTGATGCCAATAGACTGGCAATTATATGTCAACTTTCTAATCATTCACTCATCGCTTTATTCAATGCTGTGTCTAATATACACGCTCTAAACTTGCATGTATCGGGGTAATTTGGGATTACTGTTAATAACTGATAAAAATGAAAGTGGGAGGCATGTGAGCTTGTTTTTAAAAATGTTATTTATTTTTGAAGGCGGGAACGCTAGAAAACATTTACAGTCACTGCCTGAAATAAACAGGAAATGTTTTTTAAAAAACAAACAAACAAACTTTCTATTTATCTTTGTGCGGTTTGGAATTTCATCAGTGTTGGAGGTTTGAAAAAGGATCTGCTGTTGAGTTCTGCGACTCACCATGACTCAGCGATGTTATAATCTTGAAATCAGTTTTTTTCCCTGCTTCCTGCTCCTCGAGAAGAACGCTGGTTTTGTTTACAGGGACAAAGGAGCTTGGCTGTCAGCCATATTTGCAGGATTAGGCAAACATGGGTGAGATTCAGGCTGAAGTGCGTTGATTAGAATAAAGAACACACAGTAAGCAAGCTGTTTCTTTTCTGTTTTGCTCCCCCAGGATGAGAAATACTGGCAGAGGAGGAAGAAGAACAACGTGGCGGCTAAACGTTCCCGCGACGCCCGCAGGCTGAAGGAGAACCAGATCACTGTCCGAGCTGCGTTCCTGGAGCGTGAGAACACGGCGCTGCGGACGGAGGTGGCCGAGCTGCGGAAGGAATGCGGCCGCTACAAGAACGTTGTGGGGCGATATGAAAACAAATACGGACCACTGTAAGGGACGAGGAAAACACACATGCGAATACACAAAAGGACATGCAAACCGAACAGTGTCAATATTTAGAAAGATAGATATTTTTAAGACCTGATCTTTTGCCATGTGACCGGATACAAACCTACCGTACCGCTGAAGAGAGGGATGGCCTTAGCTGGAAGAGAGGGGGAGGAAGAGGGGAGAATGAGACCCCTGTATAGCCTACACTGTGATGAAAGTCCGTCAGGGGGGTTGATTTGAATAATTGTGAGTGTATTTGGTGAACAAACCTGCTTTCATTTGAGTCACAATAACGTGAGAATGAGTAAAACAGCAGAGGCTTTCCTTCCATGTGGTACCTAAGAAGGTAAAGGGAGAGGAGCCTAAAGCCTCACTCAGCCTTCATGTTGGATATTCTACTTTACAATAACTTCTTGGTAGTCCCACACACCAGCCTTCAGAGCTGCCAGTTGCTGATGGAAACATTGCTTAATACTGGCCTCTCTTCTCCCCCCTTCCTTCATTGTCATTCATCCTTGTTCTCTTCTCTTTTAAGAGCGGTGCCAGATGACGAATAGACAACAGTTGATTTATTCATTTATTTTTCCTAATGAATAAATAAATCCTTTGGTTGTTACATGGAAGAAGAGGATGAAGAACAGACGAGCATGTGTGAGGGCCGATGCTGCCAGCGAGATGTTATAGCATGTTAAGATATCAATTTTTTAAAAATCATTATTATTATATTTAGCATCTGTGCAAGTGAGAGGGGTGTGTGAGGATATTCAAGTGCTTCTTTGGTGCACCTCGCTTCTGAGGTGTCATTTTTTTATCATGTTTTGTACGACTGATGCTGAGATGAGATTGTTTGTGATGTTCGGGCTTTGATTTCTACATACAGTAGGTTTGGTTTTGTTTTTTAGGTGGCACATGTAATGGTTTAGGCTACATGGCTTCCTTATTGGGGTTTGCAGGTTGCTTCCAGCAGTTTTCATAGCAGTTTTATATCATAATGTAAGAGATTGTGCAAAGAGTTGGGCTTTTCTTTACCCACAAAGACTTCTTTTTTTGACTGTGACATTTCCAATAACCTAAAAGCTTCTTCAGGGGATTTCTGTGACTTGGCAGGAAAAACAAAAAAAAAACAAAGCAGCCATGTTCACTTTTCTTCATGTATAAGCTTTCTACTAGCGGCGGCTCAGAGCTGTACATAAACGCTTAGTCCTCCCTGTTTCTGTGCTTGTCGCCCTCGTGCTGTGTCCCTCACAGAGTTGTTGCCTCTCTGCGGGTTGTCGATGTGGACTCGTCCATTTTCTGTCAGCAACACTTCAGAAGTGTCTGTGTAGAGTCTACTGATGCATGCACTGTAAATAACTCAGGCTAATGTAAAACATTAAAATGTATTTAGCATCATAGACCATACATACAGTGCTATTTGAGTTTTTTGAAGAATCTTTATTTACCATTTACACCTGCTTCCATATTACAGGTTTTCTGTCGAAACGCACAGTGTCTCTTCAGTCTCGGTAACACAGACTGTTGTGGGACGCCTCTTTAAACCCTTTGAGTGTTTTCTACGTCTAAAGCCATTTCAATGCAGCGAGCAGTCTGCCAGTGTACAGTTAACTTTGCATCCAAACTACAGCTGTGACTTACCCGCCGGTTACTTTGCTGTCCACTTTTGACAAAAAAGGGAAAGCGGTTTATTTCTCTTTCGCTGCAGGGCTTCCACATCTATAACTGTGCTCACTTTGTAACCTAAATAAAAGTGAACATTGTGTTCTTTACAATTTTTTTTTTTTCCATTTTTTAAAAAACAGCTTCCTCTTAATGAGTGGGCGTGTGCATTTTTGTGAAGTACAACTACAAGTAGGATTTTTGTGTAAATATTCCAGACCTCTTTAACAGAAAATTGTTTCACTCCAAGCTTTTTTTTTTTTTTTTCTGTTGCAATGGTTGTTGCAGCTTCTCAGGAACAGGTCATTTAGCTAACTTTGTTGTGTGGGTTTTTTTTGTTTTTTTTAAACCTTTCTGGTTACATCTTTGTAAAGAAACATCTTTGAGTGTGGCAAGCTTTTGTCTTGTATTTACATTATGTAAGATTAAAGCCTTGTAGACCGAACTCTTTGAGTCTCTTGTTTCTTTTTATGCCATCTTATTGTCATGACTGCAGGATCTGAGGAAAACCTGGAAGGACAACTTTCAACTTTGGTACAAACGTTTACTTGAACCCGAGAATCATCTGGACCTCATAAACCACAACTTTGTATAAATTATAAGGGTTCACACAATTTTCTTAAGATCAAATAATTAAAATCAAGTTTTCTTGATGTTATTTAAGGCCATACCTCAGGAACAGGGGGCACATTAGTTCACTGGACTTTTTTGGTCATCAATGGATTTGAGTGAATGAAAATGACTATTCTGATTCTTGACAGATTTAAAGCTATTGTTGAAATCGTGACGCACTGAACCTCTAACTAATCTGCTTATCTCAGAGTAGTTTGAGGAGGTGGATGTTCTAAAACAAGGGGTCAGGAACTCCAGGCCTCAAGGGTCGGTGTCCTGCAGGTTTTAGATATTACCCTGGGTTAAAACATTTAAATCCAATGATTAGTTCATTACCAGGCCTCTGGAGAACTTCGAGGACATGCTGAGGAGGTAGTTTAGCCATTAAAATCAGCTGTGTTGGATCAAGGACACATCTAAAACCTGCAGGACACTGGCCCTCGAGGCCTGGATTTCCCACCCCGTCCTAAAGCAACCCAGGTGGTGCTGCTGAGAGAAACTACAGGAAATGTCAGTAAACATGTTCAGTATCTCACATATTACTGCAGTATGTCAGATTGATTCCTTTGTCTTTTTTCCTTCCCTCACCCACAGCTGAAACTGGAGGTTTTCTGTTAAAAGGGAGTTTTTTCTTCCCACTGTTGCTAAGTGCTAGCTCATATGGGGTCATCTGATGGCTGGGGCTATTGTACAGAGTTTACCTTACACTATAGGGCAACTGTTGTTGTGATTTGGCGCTGTATGAATAAAATTTAATTCTACCGAAGAGCTGATCACCATTGTTAAAAAAATAGATATTTTCTTATTTGGTTTTTAACAGGCTTGACATCTTGTATTGGTTTCAGCGACTCTTTAAATTTTGTGGCGTTTCCTATAAAGAGTGTTTGTTTTTTTAACCAGATGTGTTTAGTGGAGTTTCATGTATGCACGCATAATCAGAGTATAAGAAACAGGAAATCATCGCAATCATTGCTTTCGTGTAAGCTAACTAATACTCCTCAGCTGTACATGGACCCAAACCACAATATAAGAGAGACTGAAGCCCCTCAATGAAAGGGGTCAAGGGTCAAAGGGGGTTTCTTTTATTCGCCACCCATCTGTACCTTTTTAAATGATTACTAAAAACAGATTTACGTTTAAAAACAAAACAAAAAAGAAAAACGATATTTTTTTTACAATGAAAATGTTATTTCATTTTGGCTCTTGCCCCCTGTGTTCAGCGGTCCACAGAAAGTGGGAGTATTTATACCATTAATGGTAACAGCTCAGGTCTTTCCAGCTCTTTAATTGCCCATTTTTGTGACGTGTTCACTGATTATTTAAAAACCTTGAACGCTAACAAAGCAGTCATAGAAAAAAAGTACAAAATTGAGTTTTATTGACAAATCAAACAAAAGTTTTTTTTGTGAGTTTTAAAGAAAATCTGAAAGACTAAACGTTGCACTGGGTCGTCGTGGTCGCGTTCACCTCTTCTTGAAGCCGTACTTCTTTCGTTCATAGAACAGATCTGTTTTGGAGCTGCCCAGGTTTACAATCTTAGGACATCCATCTCGCTGGAGAGAGAAGAGAAAGACATTTTTTATCTTAAAGAACAAGTCTCTTGGATATTTTGCTGCTTCAGTATCCAGTGTCAAAGTGAAGAGAGGAGCGGGAAACTCACATCTTTCTCCTGGATGGTGCATTCTTTGCAGTAGTAGGCGTCGGAGACACCAGGCCCCCCACATATGACGCAGCGCCCCTGATAGGAGCCGTAGTTACACTCATCGCAAATACGCACCAGTGTGCAGGGTCTGACGTAGGAATCACAGATGACACACTTTCCATCACCTGGACAGAGAAGAGAGGAAGAAGAAAGGTTTAAACTTACACTGGAGGAATTTGAGTTTAGACTTGTTTGTGCATTTTGGGGTTTTTTGGACTAAATAGCTGAGACAATAAGAATTTACAGATATAGTGACTATGTTGACTGTAGAGTTTACAAATAAAACAACAGCAATAAAATCAATGATTAAAACTAGAGATTAACATCTATACTCTGACTTATTTTCAAAAGCACCCTTCCTTGCTTACTGGCAAGGAAGGGTGCAAAAAGGTCATGTCTGCCGATACACCCCCTGGGTGGTCATAGAGAGTGGTGGGGTTGAGAATAGTTCCCTCCCTGCTCTTCTTTCTTCGTCCTCTAATCAGCGAACCAAGGTCAATCATTTTATAGTTTCGAACTGCGTTAAAATCTTTAGTCAGATCAAAAAAGGTTGTGCTCTACCAGACACTTCGATCCATACACCAATATACTGTAATCATGCATTTCCACCCTCATGTTTAGTCGCCTCTTTTGAGGTCTGGACACAGAAAGGTATTATTACTCTCAAAGACTTATATATTGACAGGCAATTTGCATCATTTACTCAGTTGCAGAACAAGTTCTCTCGCCCTGCGTCACATTTTTTTCATTATTTACAGATAAGAATACTCTGACGAACATAGTTTCTTAATTTTCCATCTCTTCCGGAAGAGGGGTCACTTTTTAGACTCCTGAGTTCCCCGGATTCTAAAAAGTTGGTTTCTGGCTTTGTGAAAGCTTTTTCAGAGTATTTAAATTTTAAATCTGACTTTTTGAAGATGGCATGGGAGGAGGAGCTTGGTTTGCAAATTGGAGATGAGGTGTGGGAGAGGAGTCTGAGTAAGATCCATTCTTGCTCTATAAATGCAAGGAATCAGTTAATTCAATTCAAAGTAATTCTCAGACTTCATTACTCAAAAACTAAAGTGCATAGGATTTTTCCTTCTATCAGTCCGATATGTGATCGTTGTAAACTTGGAGAAGGCTCTCTCACTCATTTATTTTGGAATTGCCCCAAACTGCATAACTATTGGTTGGACATTTTTAAATGTTTTTCTGATATCTACAATTGCACATTAGATCCGGACTCAATAACGGCATTGTTTGGATCTTCCTCTTCCCTTTTACACCTCAGCTCTGCTGCACAAGCTACAGTTTTGTTCGGAATAGGAATTGCTAAGAAAATTATCTTGACTCTCTGGAAGTCGGATATTGTACCTCAATTCAAAATGTGGCTAATAGAACTGACTGCTCTACTGCACATGGAGAGGATTAGGAACACATTAGCGGACAATCTTAGTAATTTCTTTG